GGCAAGGGTCCCACATGGCGCTCAGACCTCTCCTACTGCGCCCGCTGCTCCTCTCAGCAGTGTATTTCGTCAGTCTGCCTGTTCTGCTCTCCGCTCTGGCTCTGGTGAATTCTCTCACCCTCCTGTGATTCTGACTGTACCCAGTGCTTGTATAAATCAATAAATCAATAAATCAATAAATCAATCTTTAAAAAAAAAGAAAAAGAAATTCGACTAGTTCTAAAAAATATAAAAATATGGGAACAATATTGCACCAATCTCAAGAGGAACACCCAGAGTGTCTAAGGATTTAAAACTTCTTAGAAGGAGCAGCTAAAAGAATAAATGCATTTAACCTGATTGATAGAAAATGAAACTCTTACTCGAAACAGTAAAGAAGTTATCAGGACATTGTGTGACTCAGTATGTCTAAAAGTGTTTTAGTTAAGAATGAACTTGCCCCGGATATGTACTGTTTGACCACTCACAACAGATGATGCTTAAATTTTTCTTCTAAGAGATCCAATAAAATAGCCTGATTAATCCCAGTGGGTCTTATTTTGTCTTTCTGTTATAGCAGTGAGACAAACTTATATTTTAAAATTCTGGAAGAAGGGCCTTCCTGGTGGCACAGCACCATGAGGCAATCCGTAGCCTCTGCAGCACGAGTTTGATCCCTGGCCGGCCAGGGAGCTACTCACATGGCGCAGCAGACCTCTCCTGTCTCGCCTGCTGCTCCCCTCAGCAGTGTACTTCGGTCAATCTGCCTGTTCTGTTCCCCACTCTGTCTCTCGTGAATCCTCCTCCCCCCCACCCCCCCGCATCTCTGGCCTATACTCCAGCTCTTGTATGCATAAATAAATAAATTTTAAAAATCTAGGAGGAGTGAAAGTATTGTTAGCATTGTTTTCATAGTAGTTTACCAGAAATTTCATGATTATGAAAATGATAACCTAATTGTGTGCAAACAGAACCAACTAAAATAGTTTTAGGAAAGGGAGGATAAAAGTAGTTTTCCAGAGATCCCTTGTTTTCTTTTAATTTAAGATTTTATTATATTTAGAAGAACTGGGGTATAGGTCAGAGGTGCAGGGAGTGAGAGGATTCACCAGAGACAGAGTGGGGAGCAAAGCAGGCTGATTACTGAATACACTGCTGAGGGGAGCAGTGGGTGAGTCAGGAGAGGTCTGCTGCACCACATACTGGGTCAGCTCCCTGGCTGGGGTTCCAACTCAGGCTATGAAGGTGGGCAGTCGCAGTGATAGCAGAGACTTAATCCCTGATTGTGTATTTTATTTCAGTTTCTGCTTTCAGGTTTTTCTCTAATCATTGAAACTGATTGGGTCTAAATATTGTAACTAACTGATACTGTAGTGCTTTATTTAAACCCTTTTATCAAGTGCTTCCCCTTGTGCTTTCTATGTGTTTACATTTAATTCTTACCTACACTCTGCAAGGTCATTAATGGTCACTTTCTGGAGGCGACACAGTTGAGGCTCCAATGAGTCTAGTTAGGCAGTGACACGAACTGTTGGAACTCTAAATTAGTGTTGTCCTGTAGTATTTTTTGTGATGATGCAATTGTTCTGTTTTTTAACTGTCCAGTAAAGCAGGCAGTAGTGAGAGGTCGCTATGGAACATCTGAGAAGTGGGTGATGATACTGAGGATCTTTACTGAAGAAATTTAAATTTTATTTAATATTAGTTAATTAAAATGTTAAATAGCTGCAGCTCTAGACTCTGGCTCTTCAGGCTGTGTGTGTCCATTTTCTATAGCTCTCTGCTCTACAGCAAGTACCATGACTATTAGAAAATAGTTCTAATCCACTGGTGCTACTGAGGGCCATCCACTCTCCTAACAAGTTAGTTAGTGCTGCTTGATTTCATTTTGGCAAACCTATGATTTTTTAGCTTTTTAATCATGAAACTTTTTTTTGTGTGTGTGGGACCTGGGGATGGAACCGGCGCTGCAGAGGCTGCGGGCAGCCTCGCAACTCAGTGCTCAACCGCTGCGCCACCAGGGAGGCCCAATCATGAAACATTTTAAACATATAAAAATAATAAAGAGAACTGTATAGGGCCTCCCTGGTGGCCTAGGGGTTAAGTCTCAGTGCTACCATTGCTATGACCTGAGTTAGATCCCGGCCAGGGCACTAATCCACACATGGTGCAGCAGACCTCTCCTGTCTCACCTGCTGCTCCCCTCAGCAGTGGATTTCCGTAAATCTGGCTGTTCTGCGCCCCACTCTGTCTCTGGTGAATCCTCTCATTCCACCCACACCTCTGGTCTGTACCACAGTTCTTCTATGCAAAAGACCCCCCCCCCAAAAAAAAACAAAAACCCAGACAAACAAAAAACCACTGTATGATGAACCTGTATCCCAGGTTTGACAGTTACCTTTGGTTCATTCTTTTTCATCTGTATGTGTACTCCTGGGTTATTTTGAAGAAATCCCCAGACAGGGCCTCCCTGGTGGTGCAGGGTTAAAGACACAGCACTGTCAATCTACTGCCAGCCACAGCAGCAAGAGTTCTAGTTCCAGTTCAATTGCAGCAGACCTCCCCTCTCTCCCTGCTGCTCCCCTCAGCAGTATATTTCGGTAGATCCGCCTGTTCTGCTCCCCACTTTGTCTGTTGAATCCTCTCAATGTCCTTCCATCCCCGCCTCCCTGCACCTCTGGCCTGTACCCCAGTTCTTGTATGCATAAATAAATCTCTTTTTTTCTAATTAAAAAAAAAATTTTTTTTAAAGATCTATCCATGCATACAACAGCTGGGGGTACAGGCCAGAGGTGCATGTGGTGAGAGGATTCACCAGAGACAGAGCGGGGAACAGAACAGGCAGACTGACTGAAACAGTCAGTCTGAGGGGAGCAGCGGGTGAGGCAGGAGAGGTCTGCTTCCCCATGTGGGTTGCTCCCTGGCCAGCCAGGGATCGAACCCACACCGCAGAGGCTGTGGACTGCCCCATAGTGCTGTGCTTAACCCCTTGCGCCACAAGGGAGGCCACTAAATAAATCTTAAAAAAAAAAGAAAGAAAAGAAAAGAAAAAAAAAGAAATCCCCAGCATGGCTGACTCTTAAAGCCAACTTTGGCTTTTCCTATTGAGCTGGATTTGAGGCTGCAGTACAATGCATCAGTTTAGAAGAATAAAAATGTTTTTTGCATTAGCTGGGGGAAAGGATGGGAAAGTATATTTAATACTAAAGAAAACCATGTCATCCTAATGCCAAATCCAAAACATATATATTAAATTTAAATATTTTGTGTTACTATCTTTTATTGATGTGATTACCTCATTTCGCCATGTCACAGTTCCTACTTCCAGGAGATGTTTTTACTATAACAAGGATTTGGAGGATAATGAACTCTCTGCAGTTGATAACCTTATGTATTTTTTTTTCACAGCTTGTCTAACTGTTCTATTTATATAAGCAGTCAAGCATTTTGGAGGTTTTTTTTTAACCTTTTTTTTTTTTTTTTTTGGGAGGATTCATAGTCTTATCAGTGAAACTAGAGGGTATTCTAGGAAGATAAGTGGAATTATTTTCAGCATTATAATGCTGTTCTTAACATTGGGGGTCTCAGACATAGTGTCCCACCTCAGCCTCAGTGCTGGTGGACTGGGTCTGGCCACCTAGAGGGTCCCCTTCCCAAGGTCACAGCTGCATAAGACTTTTTTTTAATCTGTTTATTTACTCAGTCTCTTTTTTTCAGGTTGGATACATTTCATTCATCTATTTTACAGTACACCGATTCTTCTTTTTTTTTTTAAAGACTTATTTATTTATGCGTACAAGAGCTGGGGCACAGGCCAGAGATGTGGGGGAGGTGAGAGGATTCACCAGAGACAGAGTGGAGAACAGAACAGGCAGATCGACCAAAGTATACTGTTGAGGGGAGCAGCGGGCGAGACAGGAGAGGTCTGCTGTGCCATGTGGGCTGCTCCCTGGCCGGCCAGGGACTGAACTCATGCAGCAGTTCCTGCGAACCGCCCCATAGGCCGCTTCGCACCACCAGGAAGGCCCTGATTCTTAACTCCATTCTACTAATGAGGCCATAGTAGGCTTTTTAACTCTCCTCTCCTCAAAAAGTGTTTTAGAGTGTTTACTAATTGCTTTCACCAGGATTTTTATGATGGCTAATTTAAGGTTTTTTTTTTTTTTTTTAAGATTTATTTATTTATTTATGCATACCGGCCAGAGGCGTGGGAAGTGAGAGGTTTCACCAGAGACAGTGGGAAACAACAGAACAGGCAGATTGACTGAAATACACTGCTGAGGGGAGCAGAGGGCAAGATGAGAGAGGTCTGCTGCACCATGTGGGCTGCTTCATAGTGCGGTGCTTAACCCCTTGCGCCACCAGGGAGGTCCTATTCTGGATATTTTGAATATCAGTTTATCAGACTCTGGATCTTGTTTAAATCCTGTGGAGAATATTGTTGCAGTACATTGGGCTAGGTTCAAGCTATATGTCCCAACTCCTCATGTGGTTTGTGGTTCTGATATATCAGTTATCAAAATCCTGTTTAGTAACCAGTCCGGGGTCTGGACATTTTGTGTCTGTTAGGTGGGGTTCTCAAAGCCTTTGGTTGTTGTGAATAGGATCAGATCTGTGTACTTGCAGTTTGGGGGGGTGGACTGTGGAAGTCATAAGCATCTTTGTAGTTTCCTTTCCCTGGTTTCTCCTCTGTCATCTTCCTGCTGCGTGTTTTTTTGGGACTGTTGTCACCCTCTGACTAGAAAGTGGGGTTCTAACTACTCTACTGTTTTGGGTACTTTTGTGATTACTGCTCTCTCTGGCTAGAGGTTTATCAATTTGATTGATCATCCTAAAGAACCAAATTTTTGTTTACTGATTTCCTTTGTTTTTCTTCTATTTCATTTCATTGATTCTGGTCTTACCTCCTTCTTGCTTAAATTGCTCTTGTTTTCCTAATTCCTTTTTTTTTTTTTTTAAGACTTATTCATTTATTTATTTATTTATTTATTTATTTATTTATTTATTTATGCGAGCACTGGGTACAGTCAGAAGTGTGGGAGGGTAAGAGAATTCACCAGAGCCAGAGCAGGGAGCAGAACAGGCAGATTGACGAAAACACTGCTGAGGGAGCAGCGGGCGGCAGGAGAGGTCTGCGCATCATGTGGGACCCTTGTCCAGCGGTCGGGGATTGAACCGGCACTGCCAGAGGCTGCAGGCAGCTTCGCAACCCAGCACCGGGTTTGCTTCAGAGTGCGGTGCTTAACCCTTGCACCACCAGGGAGGCTCCTCCTTTTTTATTTTTATTTATTTATGCATGCAAGAACTGGGTTGTAGGCCAGAGGTGCTGCCAGGGGGGGAGAGCCAGAGTGGGGAGCAGAAGAGAGGTATATCTACTGAAATCCACTGCTGAGGGGAGCAGCAGGGAGAGAGGAGAGGTCTGCTGTACCATGTGGGTCAGCTCCCTGGCTGGGGATTGAATTGGTGCTGCAGTGGCAGGTGATACTGAGACCTAACCCCCACGCCACCAGGGAAGCCCCCAATTCCTTTTTTTCTGACTGATTTTAAAATTTTTTATTGTTATTTTCCAGCATTTGGGCTGTGATGTTTTTAGTTTTTCCAGATAGGTTTTGTTGGAATTCTTAGATTTGTGAGTTTAGGGTTTTTATCAAATTTGCACAATTTCCATACTTTCAACTTCCTGAACTCCCGTGCCTTACATATGTGAGACCATTTAGTCCACTTGGTATTGTTCCTTTCCGTGTTGGATATGTCTGTTATAGGTTTCCAGGTGTACTGCAACCTCTGTGCAGTGGTTTATGTTTGCTGCATTGGCTCTAAGTTTGCTGCATTGTAATATTTTGAACCAGTATTGTTAACTTTTCTTTTTTGATATCGTATTTTGTTGCTCGGAAATTTCCATTTTTTAATAATTTCTGTTTCTCTGTTGGGATTTATGTTTGTTTCTTCATTGTCTCCATATTTTCCTTAAAATTTTTACCATTACATAATAGTGACTTTTAAAAGTCTTTGTTCCTTCCATCTTGTTTCTGTTGCTTTTGATTTTTTATCCCCTTTGGTTGTATATGGCAATTTCCTGTTTCACATTTCTTATAATTATCTTTTTTCATAATACTGGGTGTTGTGGACACTAGGACTTTGAATATCTGGATCCTGTCGCCTTTGAGGTTTGCTTTGGCAGATAAGTTGTTTGTTCTTTTCCTGTTAATTGTTCTGGGTTTACTTTTATGGTTATTTATTTGGCT